GCTCCCCAAGCCTGACGCTGGGCTCTGCGTTGATGCGTCTCTCTCCCGCTTAATCCGGAAGAATGCCAGCTTGGTGAACCGGTTGAGCTGCGCCCAAAAGTGTCGTCCTGCCGGATGCGCCGCAATGCGCTCCAGGAGATCGACCGCTGCCTCGCGAACCGGCTGGTGTGGGTGGAACAATCCCATGCCGAGGTAGAAGAGTCCCGCTTGGTTCTCAGGAGTCACGGTCAAAAGCTGGCAGATGCCTGCGTAGTCCTTGACCGCATGCGCAAATGAGATGTAGATCGCCCCCGCATCGGCCGGCGGCAGCCTCAGCGCCCGTAACCGGTCATGATGATGATGCAGGTCCGGCTTCTGAATTGGCCGTGAGGGATAATACATGGCTGCAATGTCTTGGATGAAGGAGTAATATGATCGCGTCGTCCGCCAACCTTCGATTCTCGCCACTGAGGCCATCAGCTCGCGTTGCTTGGACCCCTCGTCTGGCCACACATAACCGTGTCCGCGGAGCGTTGTCGGATCAAGCGGATCCGCCTGAAGGCCGCTTGGACTTTCGGGCGAAAGCTCTTCGTTGGGCCCGATAACATACAAGTTGGACGCTCCGTAAACCGTCTCCTCGAAGGCAGCAGCAACCCGGGTGAACTTGGTGATATAGGCGCGCCACTTCGCTCGGATGGCATTCTCTCCGTATCGGTTGGTGATGCTGCGCTGGACCTCCTCCATGAAGACATTGTCTCCACTGGGATCTGAATTGTTACTCGGCGGTGGATGGTGGTTCATGGCGGCTTGCTGCTGGAAGTACAGGAGTCCTTCGGTAACAGGGGCCGGTTCGATGTGGCTGCTGATCTTCATCCGGCCCGTAGGCAGGTCGCAAAGCACATCCCACCACTCGGGGTGGTTGGCAAAGGTGGGATTTGTCACGCCGGCAATGAAACCAGGGACCCTCAGTAGGTCATCGATCTTCGTCAAATCAGTGTACGGGAAGGCATGCCTGGTAAACCCGCGCAATATGCCGCCCGACGCAAGGGCGCACGCCGCCAACACTGCCTCTGCCACCTCGCCCGAAGGGCGATTATGCCCCAGGAATATCACACGCTTCTGAGTCAGCATGGCGTTGACGAGGACAATGATCGGATGGGTGAAGGGCCCGCTCGTAGTGAGGTGGGGATGGATGGGAAAGGGCTGTGGCGAGGCCGCATGCGGACCAGAAAATATTTGGATGAGCTTGATGAGGGAAAAGTCACCCACAACCTCCGGCCAAATCACCGTTGGCACCTTGACAGGAATAGGAATGTCGTTGTAGACGATCTTAGACTCAAACTCGTGGGTATCTCGGGGTAGCGTGTATCGAGGGGCGGCCGGCCTTTTCGGGGATGGGGGTTCGTCGTCGAAAGGCGTGCCGTCTTCAACTTGCCGCTGGTGGATCATCTGCTCGAATTTCTCGATGAACATATCCTTGCAGTTGCTCGCTTGCAAGATCAGTCGCTCTAAAAGAGATAGCCTTGGCATCAACGACAGGTCCATGGCATTCACGGCATTGTATAACGACGCGAGCGTCTCGGGGTAGGGGTTCTTAAAGTAATCCTCCAAGGCTAGGAGAAGTAGAGGCTATCGTGGCCGGTCAGCTCTGTCACATGCGCTGTACTGGGTGAACCTACTTTATATATATGTAGGAAAGAATGTCGCGTACAAATCGCCATGGCTTTGACAACTGCACCTCTGTGATTGTTCAGTACTGATTAGGCAGCCGTGAAACCATGGAAGGACATACCGCTTGACGGAATTATCTTGCTTCGTATTTACAAGGTTGAGCACATACATCAAGGGTGGCCCCTCGCCACCCTCTTCTTCGTCGCTGCTCTCCTCTTCGGTTGACCCGTCAACATCCTCGCTATCCCCGTCGCCGCTCTCCGCATCCCCAATCCGGGACTTCTTTTTCTTCTTCTTTTTCTTGCCGGTACTGGCGTCGTCATCCTCGTCGGCATCCGCGCTCGTGTCCTTATGTAGGAAGAAGATCGTCCAGTCTTGACTCCGAACGTGCGTCTGATCGGGAAGCATCAGCTCCGCTAGCATGCTCTCGTCGCCACTGATTGCGGCGGGATACTGATGCTCCATAATCGGGCCGCGGTCAATGTGGAAGGAGGCCACGAGGATGTACTCGACATGTCGCTCGGGCGAATCTCGGGGGTATTGCGATTTGCATCGTCGCGGTTTTGGATAGAGAGCAGAGGGACCATGGCCCAGCGAGCGACGGCGCGCCGAGTTCCCCGAACTACTGGGGGTGCGCCGGTGGATGATGGAAGGGGAAGGGGAGAGGCGGGGATGGCCATTGGCCTTGGAAGGATTGGTGGTGGCCGCAAGCGAGAGGGTGGAATCGTCAGTAGGTCGGTAGGGAAGTGAGATGCTCATTTTCTGGCCGGGGAACAGGGGGTCGAGGTGGGCACGGGGGTCATTCAGATCGAGAGCGGATCGGGGGTGGCAAGTGATAGCTCCAGAGGACCGGCGAACAATGAGCACGAGGATAACGATAGTAGCAGCATACTCAATCAATTAATCCCAGTAGAAAACCGAGGCGACCTGACTCAGGCAACTGATACTGTCGAACTGTCAGTCATTGTCGGGGATCATGAGCCAGGGCGGACTTTGGGGGGAGGTTCGTCGATCGGAGGATTAGTCGGGATAGACTCAGGGGAAAAAGAAAGGGGACGAGAGCCTCCAAAGCCCACGCACCGACGATGATCTCCACAGCGGGGAAAGGCGACGGGAGACAAACCAGCACCACCGACCGCCATGGCCTCAATGCACGTAGCTGGGGGGGGAAAGTAAGAGTACTAATTGCAATCAGACGTGCAATGGGCACGGGAGATCTAGGCCATGAGATCTAGACCAGCAGATAGTAAACTGTTTTAGATCGATGATAATAATAGAGAAGATGCCAATGATCGGATCTCTTTCTCCGTGCAGTTCGATTGAGGGAACTTCAGACTTGCAGCAACTGCCGTTTCTTGCCTTTCTTGGGCCCCCGCACGTGCCCCCTCCGTCTCGGCCCGACTTGAACCCCCGATGCCTTGTTGTTTGTTTGGCTGCCTTTCCCCTTCTGGGAACTATGTATGAATGGTTATCTCCATCCCCCATTCTATCCTGCCATCTTCCCCTCTTGATCCTTCTTTGCTGTGTGTGATCCTCCCAATCTGATAGGGAATTTTGTACAGTTGCATATCATTGTCATATTCATTCTCCACATTGTTCAATTCAGCATGGTAAGTAACTCATTCTCTCATCCTCCTCCCTCCGCACTCCGCTCACCGCCGTATCTCCAGGTCTCCTCCAACGCCCCCTTCAGGCCATCGCCATTATCATTTGGCTCCCCTCGACCCTCCCCTTTTCGCCGTCCTTCCACGCCCAACTCCCCTCCTCAAGGCCGTTCAAGCACCCCTGGCAGTTCCCCCGGTCGCGGATACACCCCGGTCCAGTCTCCGAGCAAACTCAAGGAATCATACACAGTCGAGGAAGATGACGGTTCATCACCCAAAAGCAAGCCCAGGAGTCCCATTGCGCAGCCCCGATTTACACGAGAGGCGCCCCCCTCGCCAACGAGGGGCGCCAATGCCCCGGATTCGTCGCCGTCGTTGATGGAGGCCAAAGCCACGAACATGATGGCGGCGTCATCTGACGCAGCAGCCAAATTACCCCCCGCACAACTGCGGGAAATCAGAGAGGCATTCCAGGTCTTGGACCGAGATAACGATGGGTTGGTAGATAAGGACGACGTGGCGGATGTGCTTACGAACGTGGGTATGTAAAAGAAGGCTAGCTAAAGACTAGCTAGTCGATCATCTTAGGGCGATGACATATGATACTGACGCAACGCTGCTCGACAGGCCAAGACCCGACTGCCATTTCCAAGTTCTTCCCTCTGGGAGGTCCCCAGACTATGAATTTCCCCACCTTTCTCAATACCCTCTCACAGCTGCTCGCCCCTCTTTCTTCCCGCCAAGAGCTCCTGAATGCCCTAGCGGCCTTTGACGAGGATGATAGCGGTCAGATCGACGTCGACGAGCTGCGCGATGCTCTCTTACATACAGCGTCCGAGGACGGCGACCATCCGCTAAGCGACCGGGAGATCAATGAGGTACTCAGTGGGTTTACGGGGCGCCGAGCATTTGGTGGGAAAGGTGCTCGGGCAACGGGCGGAGGAAAGAGGGGGGAGGTATTCCGATACCAGGACTTTGTCAGTGGGATCATGGGAGGGACAGAGAATGGATCGACGAATCGCCGCGACGCCTAGTAGATAGCCGCAACGGCGGAGTGGGAATTATTGCTTATAGTTCGGTAACGGCGTTCGGATGAGGAGGGATACCGATAGTTAGGGAACCCGACTGGCTCTGGCAGCCATTGATTGACCTGCAATTTTTGGATTTCCGTAGAGACAACAACAACAGCAACAACAACAACTACTACTACTACTACTACTACTACACCAGCAACATCATGTAGATACCTTTCAGGGTAGCTCCATCTGCGGAAAGTTAAACATGACAGCCAGCCAGGAACATGTCACGATGGAAATAAAGTTGACAGGGCGAAGGACCAGACAAGACAAGACTCGTGGGCCCGCGAGGATTAAGGCCAGGAATTTCCCATGGCAACTGAGCTTTTTTGCTCGCGTCGTCGCGTGTCCCCGCATTCCGTCCGTCGGCAAAAAAAGCCCGCCATCAGATTGAAACTCTGAAGGAGAGAGAAAGAGAGAGAGAGAGAGACACTAAAAATTAGTGATGATCCCAAGCTGCAGCAGAACCCCCTAAGAATCCATTGATTTCTTGCATCCGTCCGGCGTCGTTTCTTTTCTCCAACCATTCATTCTCCCCCATTTCCAAACCTATTATTTACTCTTACGTGATATAAATTTCTCCAGGACCCTTTTCTTTTTTGTCTATCATTATTGTCATTATAATATTCATGGATCATCTTCCTGTCCTTCTTTGATTCCACGTTCAAGGAAGATGGTTGTATCTCTGCGCCAGATGCAGACCCCCAACCCCAATCCTTGCTGATCCAATCGAGCGTCTGTCCGTCACACCTGCAGCAGAGCCCACTCTTTCTCTCCCTCCACTCCTCCAGCCCAGCCCAGCCCAGCCCAGCATGGCGCCCTCCGAGTCCTCTCCTTCTCCCTCATCCTTCCATCCCACCCAGGCCCAGCTTAATCTCGCTGCTCTGGCTGGGTCACCTTCACCGCGGACCATGCGAGGCTTGCGCAAGATCCAGTCTCACCAAATCCTCTCCTCTCACCCACCTTCCTCTGCTCATCATCCGCCGTCGGGGCGCTTGTCTGCTGGCGCCGAGGAGCTCGCCCAACCTCCTCAGCTGGACTCGCCCGTGCGACTGCGCTCGCAACGCCGGGCGCGCTCCAACAGCGATGCCTCGTCTCGGGAGGCCCCTGCGATAGGAACACAAAAGCGATCGGCCAGAAAGACGGGTTCTGGGTTTGGAATCAAGCGCTCGGTCTTGGAGACTCTCCTCCGGGACGGTCCGCACCAGGGCAACCTTCAGGAGGGTCTCCAGGAGCTTCGGTACCTCGTTCTCTCGACACGAGTCGAAGCAGACGCGGATGGCATGGTATATAGCCCGCCCCCCTCGTGCTCTATCTGCCCCTCGTGGAATCAAGAGCAACACGTTCACTAACACTATCGCGACAGTCTACCTACCGAATCTACCTCTGGCTCGTCCTTCTCGATGTTTCTCCTGTTCCAACCGACGAATACCTCTCCCTCATCCACCGTGGTCGCTCCCCGGCCTACACGAAAATCCGCAATGACACATTCCGCACGATGGCCACAGACCCCCTATTCAAACGCCGCGTTACGGAAGCCAGCTTGATCCGGCTTCTCAACGCTGTCGCATGGAAACTTCACGATGCAAAGAATAAATACCGATCGCGATCGCGTCCCTCGTCACGTCTCCGAGAGATTGAGCTCTTGATCAACACACCTCCGAGCATTGAAGAAGAACCCTCCCCATCTGGGACACCAGGTAGTGTTGCTAGCAGTCGCGGCGGCAGCAGCGGGATTACAAATGAATCAGCGATCTACGTCCAAGGCATGAACGTGCTCTGCGCTCCATTCCTCTACGCCGCCCGCAGCGAAGTCGAGGCCTTTGCCCTGTTCCACTCGTTTATTACACGCGAATGTCCGGGTTACATCCGCGGCGCCATGGACGGGGTTCATCGAGGACTGCGCTTGGTCGATCAATGTTTAGAGATCGTCGAGCCCAAACTAGCAGCGTACCTCTTCTCTAAGGGCCTACAGGCGAAACTGTATGCATTTCCGTCGGTGTTGACCCTCTGCGCATGCACGCCTCCTCTTCCGGAGGTGCTTCATCTTTGGGACTTTTTGTTCGCGTACGGAACGCATCTAAATATCTTGTGTATCGTGGCGCAATTAATTCGAATGAGGGACACGATCCTTGAAAGTCCGAGGTATGTTTCCGTTTTTCTTTTTTTCTTTGCCTTTCCCCCTCCCTACCCTTGTTCATTCCCCCTTTCCATGTTTTCTTTTTCCTCGTCCGCCTCATCCCCTGGCAAAAGCAATACCATACCACCAAAACAAAACAAAAACGGGGAAAAACAAGACAAATCACATCCCCTCAGAGCACAGCCCCGACACACAGCTCCCTCTGAGAGAATAAATCTCCTGGGCACGATATGATACCCCCCAAACCCAAAACAAAGCCCGCAGCAGCAGACATCCCAGAGAACATGTGAAGTGAGGTAACAGCGCTAACGACCCATCCACAGTCCCAACAAAATCCTCCGATCCTTCCCACCACTAGACGCCAAAGAGATCATCGCCCTGACGGTCCTAATCGTCCGCAAGATCCCCGAGCCGCTGTACGCTGAATTAATCGACCATGCCAAATGATGGCATCACGTTTCTTTCTTTTCCCTGTTTTCCAGCTAGCTAGTCAGCCAGCCAGGGAACACAGCTAAGACTTCAGCTACGGCCAGCCAGCTAGCTAGCCACGAAAACCAACCCTACCTACCTACCATCTAACCCACCGAATTCGCCACCTACTACTTTACCACCACACGGACCCGGACCCAGACCCAGACCCAAAACAATATTCCGAATTGGGACTAATGTGTCCGTCCCGTCCGACCGTCCGTCTTTCCGTCTCCCCTACCTGAACCTACTACGCCACTTATATTACCCTTTTCACTTTCTCACGTACGCGCCGGATCTAACGATGACCTAATTGAGACGTCTCGTACTTACCCTTTTTGTACTTGTATTTTACATTTTCTTCCCTTCTGTCATTTTTTATTTTTTTTGAACAATTTCTGGCGTTTTTGTTGCTTTTCCCCCTTTACTCATGATAACTAACCTACTAACCCAACCTACTGACTGACTACTATTACTGTATGTATTATTGATTGTTATGAGAGCATGATATCATTGATGGAACTGACTGAGACATGAAGAAAAAAGATGGAAAAAGAAAGAGAAAAAAGGAAAAAAGAAAGACAGCATATAGGAGAAGTTGATTGGTTGATTGATTGATGGAGATGGGGATGTATTTTACTTGGAGATGTTGACTTTTTTGATTGATTGACCATGTTATTTAAGGCTGACTTGACTATGTCAGTCAGTCGGATAGATGAGATGAGATGGATGACTCATGAGTGAAATGATGAACTTGATTGAATGCATCATGCCATTTTTCAGATATTGATTGAATCTTGATTTAATAGAAGTACGGAGTAAACTTCTAACCATTCAACCAAATCATTCTATCTATGTAATGTATGTATTCAGTGTTTGTGTTCAGTAAACCCCGTTAACGCCCCCTCGACGCCGTAAATTTCACTCTGGAAAAGTCATTGGAGGACCCTCACCTCACACACAAGGAGAAGGAAATAAGAAATAAAGATCATGCACATATAAAGTATGATCACAGCTAACACCAGAGCACATCAAACATAGTAGTAAACCCAACCCCATGATCCCGTTCTATCCCGGCCTTACCCTCTGCAGTAATGATTGATGATGATAATATATCTGAATATCGAGAATATCTTTGACACCAGTTCGTCAGATCCAAAGGAAGAAATATGCGGCTAAGTAGCCACTGCTTTAATTCCAGTGTTCGACCCATTAACAACCAGAGGCCCGCAGTGCTCGCCCGATTTGGACGACGCCGAAGTTGACGAAGACAGCGATGATGACCTCGGACTGTTGCCAGGACCATATGGTCCTTGGTTCTTTGCGACCGGACCGTTCGCGTTAGTCAATGGAACCGATCCGGTGTGTCTCTCGCGGCTCAGGCTGTACGCGAGGTGAAGACTCCGGTCAATCTTGACGCGGATTTTCGCGTCCATGAAGTTAATGCCGTTGTACTGCGCTACAACACGCTTAGCTTCATCCGCTGTGCGCAGGGTTATCCGCGCGAAGCCTTTGCAGCGCCCGGTGTCAGGGTCCGTGGACACCTCCGATTGCTCCACTGTGGCGCCGCTTTCTTCGATGAAGGCGCGGAGGAGCTTGTCGGTGGTGGTGGGACTGAGGTTCTGCACGAATATAGTTCGTCGTGGGAAAGAACGGGGGCCTGGGCCCCCGGTGTGGTAGATCTGCGGCGCGAACGCCGGGTTGTAGCCGTAGGAAGCTTTGCCGGACATGTGGGCCCGACGTCCGGGTAGACTAAAGCCGCCATGTGCTGGGGCGTCAGGGAACGGTGGCGTGGTTGTAAAAGGATATGTGGGGAGAAAGGGAACAGCAAAGGCGTCGCCGAAGGAGTGGCGGAGAGGAGCGGGCGACGGTGGGATGCCTGTTATGGGCTGTTGTGTGACTGGATCTGTAGGGAAAGGCATGAAAGGCTGTTGAGGCATTGCTAGTGGATTGACCATGGGGCCGTAATCAGTAGCTGGATATGTCGGGCAGTTTGGACTGCCGGATAGGATGGGTCTATGAGTTGTCAGTCGTCGCCTGAAGAAGGGAATGCACTCCCTGTACTTACTCGGGGGAAATGGGAGACGGAGGCACTGCCATGTTTTGTGTTGATCGTGGCGGAGTCGAGTAGCCTGGTACATAGTTGGGTGGGATCACGCAGGTTGGACTCTTCGTAGGCCCGGCAATTGGTCGTGTAGGTGAGCTGGTTTTTGCTAATGTGACAACCAGGCTCTGGCCTTCCCAGCCGTTGGTAGATAGCCTATCTAGAAGCACACTGTCAGCTAGTCTCTGACTATCCGGGTTCCATGACGCACGGTAGGTTCGCCATGCTTCGTCTTCGTTCTTCACAATGATCTGGCCAAGACCGGTTGGGAATCCATGCTGGTCATCGTAGACCACGGCCTGACGGATATGTAAGGCTGTCTGGCGGACTAGGTCCTTGAGCTCTTGCCAGCGACAGTGCGCCGGTATCTGCACTCAGGGTTAGACAAGGTCGCGTGTATAGGATATACCACGTGCGAGACATACTCCCTGGAGGAATAGAACGAATTCCTCTTCTGACCTTCCGGATTTTGCCATCCGGCCCTTCTCGCGTGGAGGGAAAGGCATGATAGTGTGGTATAGTAGGGATCGATATGTCAGATCCCCTGAGTGCTCGGAGAATGGATGAAGAGTAGGTGGACCCCGTGAGCTTAAAGCCTGTGATCTTCTGACAAAAGGACTATTTCCGATGATTTTTAAGCTTCAATGCGCAGGATGGACTCGATTAGCAGGGGGGGTAATGACCTAGACGCTAGAATATAAGTATCGGGGTTTGGTCTGACGGTCTCACACCCGAGTAGTATGACCAATGATGCCCAAGGGGATTATGCTTACTGGTTCGTTCTTAAAGACCCCGGTCGCTATTCAGAACAATCAGGTATGGTTTGAAGAGAAGAAACGATCCACAGGAAAATGTAAGAGATCGAGGACCAGTGCTTCGTGGGTTTTATGTCAAGATTGGAAGACAAGCGCCCGAGGGTTGATCGACCTCCTACATCGAAAGCGGCCCACCGAAGGCGAAAAGTGTTGAGGCCAGTGCTGAAGCAGCAGCAGCAGCAGGCAGAGTAAGGAGGGCCAGAATAAGAATAGCAAAGACAGTAAGAATGTCCGAGGGAGTGGAAACAGAGGAGACAGTAGGACCCGTGAGGATAAGATTAGTGGAACGAGGCCAGGAAGCAGAAGGAAAATAGGCGAAAGCCACCGATGCATCCGCTGACGAATTAAAAGGGGGCGCAGTTGGTGCTGGAGAGCTTGCGAGGGAATTCCGGGCCTGATGCCTGGAGGAGACTGGGATGGGTCAATTTGGGAGCACTGGCAGAGGCAGTTGGGAGGAGGAGGTGGTGGTGGTAGTGATCGCAGTCGAGGGATCGAAAGAGGACGGGGCCCAAGCAGGCTGATGATGATATGTCATGCATGATCAACAGTGATGGATAAGAAAAGATGGGGACTCACTATTGAGCTTGAGTGGCCGAATAAAGTGAAGGAGTCAAAAAAACCAGATGAGAGGAAAAAAGAAAGAAGTAAGTACAGTAGTTAGTGGATGAGTAAAAGAATGATTGAATGAGGAGACGGGGGAGAAAAGAAATGAAATGAACTGAAAAAAAGAAAAGAAAAAAGTAAATATAGTTAGTTGATTAATTGATTAGTTGCTGTATGATGGCTGACTGACTTGCTGGGCATAAACTAAAAACCAGTCATTCAGTCAGCCAGTTCTGTCAATCAGGAGCCAGTGAGTAGAAGATGAATTAATTGAGAGATTTCTATTTGTAGCAGGATTGAAAGTTAATGATTTCTTCACATAGTGTGCTGCGTGAGATTGAACTAACTAGCAGCCGGTACTGCTCATGTAGTACTAGGAAAAAAGTACTGTTAGAGACTAGAGAAGCAGTGAGACAAGACACTTGAAGTATATCCTCGAGTTAAAGCTGCTGAATGATTGATTGGTAAAGATCGGAAAGTAAATGACGATGAGAATGGAGACAGTCGCCAACAACAGAAATCCAACCCAACATCATGGAGGACCCAGGCCTTTCCTTCAAAGGCACTTTTCAACACCAACTCCCATAATAACCTCCATGGACTCATAACCTTTTCCTCTTCATCCGCCGCCTTCATTCCAATACACTCGAACTCGAGTACGTCACGCTTGGCGGACAGGGTTACACCGCCAGATCTCAGGGCAGCCACAACAACAACAAGGTCTCTGTCCTGTCCAGTCAATGAAGTGAAAAATTTGGTCTCGAATAAAAAAATAAAACGAATAGATTAATTAGAAATTATACCAAGAATTGCTGCTGACGGGAAAACAAGAAAAGAGTTGATGGTGGACCATGCGCCCTGCATCGCCCTGAAAGGCAAATGGCATTGTGCTTTTCCGTTAATATCATCCTCATCCTCATCCTCATCCTCATCATCGGTCAGCCCTGCGGTGGCCAGAAATATTCCCCCTCAAAGAAGGGCAGCCAACCAAAAATAAGTAGAGATCGAATATTAGGTTAGCAGACAGCTGATGCGATACGGAAAATGATGTTTCTTTTCTTGTTCTGCTTTCCCTTCGCATCCCTTGGGTCACCTTCATCATACTAAGTAAGCAGCACTGCAAGCAAAAATAGAATAACCTCAGCCCTGAAATGGGGATGTGGAGTTACACAGTCGGACTTGTCTCATGTCTGATCATGAAAGGTCAAAGACTGCAGCAGCATCTTCACCCGGACTCTGACCTCTCCCCATCTCTTTCCCTCCTCTTTCATCAGGCCTCTCATTGCTGCACTAGTAAGTTCGGGTTAATTGTCTCGGTCTCAGCCCATGTCTCCACAGATAGTCATCCAGGAATGCATCGCAGTAGAGATCAAAACGAAATGAAATGCAGCAACAGCAGACCAGCCAGAGTACTACTACCCAAGCAAGCGAGCTTCACAAGCAGCCTATTGAACAACTTGCGTCTCCCCAGTCGGATCCAGCCTTGCCCCTTGATTCGGTTCTGGGACCACCCAGATTCGGCCGGGAAGATCCCTGAAGCCACCTGCATATGAGGTATCCATTTCCAAGAACAGTCGCAGTCATCGCCTAAGTAGGTCCGGTGGTCTTGCCGCCCGGGAGTACCTGTCCACTCCATGCATCGAAACCTTGCCACTCCAGTCACCGCCGGCGCTGAGCGATAGATCCAAAAGAATGTCACACGGCAGCTGGCCGTATATTGTTAGAAAGTCTGGTCAGTCACCGGGAAAGCGTTGGACGGGACACCAACCAACGCCCGGGCAGCAGGCGTCAGGCTCCGGTAACCGCTGCGACCAATGTGGTTTGGTGAGGTGAGGCTAGGAGCAATAGGATGGGAGGGCTGAAAGTGGATGAGGATGTCATCGGATCCCATTTTACGGGAACCTACAGCTGGAAAAAAGTAATGTAGAACAGAAAGAGGGAGAGAGTTATCAGGGAAGCCACTCTAAAACGCCAGGCACTGAATTAAACTGCCGAGATAAGCCGCTGCAATCCGAGTCTAATCTGTCCGCGCCGCGGCCTTGCTTGACCCTTCCGAATCAAGTAGAGCTGGTTGTCTGCTTCAGTCGCCTTAAATCTCGCCTATGAGTGTGAATGATTTAAGTGTGTGTTTGTCCATTTGATTAAGCCTGGCTGAGTCACGATCATGGCGGCAGATCACAGACTATCTAGCTTACCTTCCCCCAGAATTTCCGCTAAAAATCGATAGTCGGACGATCGACCCATACAACACAGTAGACTTTAGTTGGTGATTAGGCACGCCCTCGCCCTCGCCCTCGCCCTCCGCCCACGGGCCCGCGGCTCTGGTAGGATCTCCCACTAGCAAGTACTCGTTGATGACTCCATACCCAACCAGGCGAACAATCTAGAAGGGGTCGAGGAATTCATGACCCATCGGGATCCCGGGGACCTAAAAAACTTGAAGCTAGACTAGAGGATGCTATCCGTCGTGGCTGGCTCAAGATCTTTCTCTCCACTTGAGATGGAACCATCTTAAAATCTTCATATTCCCGATCAGGGAAGACGCTGGATGTTCCTGGACTGTGGATTACTTACTTACCTGTCTCGGTCGCGTGGACGACTAAGCTTTGATCGTGTCACTGCCGTACGAGGAGGTTAAAATGTCCTGTCCCTTCGTGCCTGGTCGCGCCTACCGATTACATACATGAGCAGCACAGTAGTCTGCGGACTATTGAACGCTACGACCTATTCCATGTCTGCGTGGGACCTCGATGATGTGAAGAAGGATCTCTCATGATCGTAGCTACGGGGCGTAATCGCTGTTCTGCTGTGGAGCGAAAACCTTAGATTATTGCTTGGTTTCTTTGGATCGTAACGTTGCTGTGATACTGAATCTCGAAGTCATGACTTACCTACCTTCCTGACTGAGACTGGCCGAATTGGGAGATCCGGTCGATCGCCCTCGATTCCTCAGGACAACAACTCACTAGATTCAGACAACTACCATGGAACGGAGCTCTGAGGAACGAGCTCTACCTGTCACATGCAATGGGACATAGCGGCCACCGACTGGATCGCAATTGGCAATGCCAATTCCTGTCACCTATCGAGGCTCACTCGGGGATTATCTGACATTTCCGCTGACACGGTGACCATGGGATAAATCGTCTGCCGACCATGACATCGGGCAGACCGTTCTGCAATACTTGAAGTTTTATACAGTACCACGTACATATGCGCGCACATGATGCTTTCACACTGGGTGACACCATCAAGTTGATTATCTGAGCTCTCCCAGCGCACAGCCACCCATTGCAGTAAACCAATCCTGAGGCTTTCTCCCGTCCCCTCATCGCCCCCTTCTGCCCTTCAGGTGCTTTCCCCCCATCGCTCGCTCAGTGCTAACCCCGATACTAGCACCATGGCACGGTGGACCCCGAGCAAAAGTAGACGAGACGATGAAACGAGGCCAAACCCACGACTGAAATGAGCCACGACCCACTGATCAGCGACACCCACCATTGCCGACACCACAAAAGGGGTCGGTCAAGCAATCTTTCGGGTGTGGCTTGAAGGGCCGCCCGTCACAACCTCCATTAGGTAATCCAGCGTGAATTTCCTCTCTTTTGTTAACTAACTATCTTAGTCTGCAAAAGCAAAAGCTAGTTTAATGTGAGTGATCTCCGTTGTCCCAGACAGCTGACTTGCTGTCCCTGACTCGCTCGGGGTTCGAATCGGGCTCTGAACTTCTGATACAACACAAGCGTGACAAGACACCTGCCATCGATCCGATCACGGCGTCTCTTATGCGGGGCAACGCCAAAGCACTTACGGAGTACTTTGCTCACACTTACGTGTCCGTGTTACAGGCAACCAGGCTAATGCCCCATCGCTGTAAGGGGGAAGACGAGGAAGAGGGGTGGGTGGGCAAAGGGAAAGGAAACAATGGAGGGGTAAAAGGCCCGTGAACGGACCCCCCAATGTAATACCGAGTATACGGACTTTACCGTCGTTGTTTGCTTGTGGTTGTCGTCACGCTCAAAAGTCGGGGGTAAAAAAGAAAAGGAACGGAGGAAAGAAGACGAAAGAGGGGGGATTCAGCTTCCTGC